CACACTCTGACTGCAAACGAGTGACGTCTGCAGTCGAGACGGCTCTTTTGGTGTGCCAACTTCAGCGGATGCCCTCTGAGATGAACGTTGTGCGATAAAACCAACAGAGGTCTACAGGGGTGGTTGGGTTGTTGGAAAATCCGATAGAGTAAAATCATATCGCCTCTAATTCGACGATATTGGGATGAGTATAGCCCCAGGAGCTGTAATCTTTCTCCGTAGGTCTTGGAATGCAAACCTTTGACCATTTTGGTAGCTATTCTCTGTGGATGTTCGAGTGCCTTCAGATCTCGCTGCAACCATGGGTTCCAGGCTTCAATTGAGTACTCAGTATATGGACGAATATACGTGGCTAGCAGACGTGGAAACAAAGCCGGCTCAAACGATCCATTACGCAGTATGCTTGTGGCCTACTTGTTACGTCCCCGATTTAATCCTCATTTATGTCGATGGATTCAAGCTCAGCTGATGAAACCCAACCAGGTCGAAACAGCTGTACAGTGTTTCCCTTCTTTTCAGTTCATGCTTCGTTTTCTCTGTATACGACAATCTAACCAAATGCTCCACAAACCTCATGATTTTTCATTAGTTACCGGCGATGAAACCTAACCAAGTGGTAACAAAACTCAACGTTAACAGTTTCATCGTGGAAACGGTGTTAAGGATTAGATTAGTGTAGTATTATAACTTCACACAATAGAAACTAAAGTTCTAAATCCTTATCCGTGACCAAATTTAAAAGTGAAGACGAATGCTTCACGTTGTAACTGATCCACCGACGTTTTTCTCTAACCTCTCTCACTCAGAGATGCACCGAAAACCGTGCAACTCTCCCACTTGACATGCGTCAATCGACCTGCGTAACTTTTGGATAACCGATTCGTGTCGTACCTCCTGTTATTTATGCATATTTACTCTCAAACCGGCTGTCCATCGGTATTTCATACCCATATCATCACCCGATAACAGTTCGCATAAAAGAAGACACTGTGTTCAATGATAAAGAATACTATTGTGTAACATGTCATGTTACCCAGAACACAAAAGTATGTGAACTGATGTGATTCTTATTCCATTCCTATCGAAATGTATGTTCTCCTACGCTTCTTGTTCGAATGGACAACACCATCTTATTTCGCGAAAAGTATATAAGTTAGCACCCAAGTACTAAAGAAAAGTAACTTATTGCTGGTCAGTTCAGTTCTTCTGTGGTTTTTACAATACGATCGATCGCCTATCTTGAAAATCGGTGAAGTAACCGATTGACATTATTCAGTTAGAATCTGTTCGCTCTCCCATATCGAGCCCAGTAGTTTCGTCAACTCCAAGACCACTACTGAAGCCCCGTCTTTAAAAGCCGATGAGAACAGCGCATCCAGACCGAGGCTTAAAGCCTCTTGAGATAATTTATTTCCCGGAGAACCTCCACTTTAGATGAAGGACTGGCATCAACTAGGACTATCTGTCCGGTCGAAGTAAGGAGTGATATGTATGATATCGATGGGGGCGGGCAGTTGAGCTGAAATTCGAAGTGCTCAGTTTATCAATCAAGACGGTGTTGCTGATGACGAATCAGTGTGCCGTCGGACTCCTTAATTACCTCACACACTCCCGGGGCCCGTATACCTAATTAGAAGGAAAAGATTGTGAATATTACCAATAGCTGCAGCTTTCTCCATCTCTAACTTTTCCTACCCACCGCTTCTCGTAATCATTCCTCATGCTCTTGGTGGATTTACGCGCTTTGTCAAATGTAGCATCAGAAGGAGCGAATCTGCGGGCGTTCAGCAGGGTAGCCGAGGTCGACGAAATCCATCCTTTGTGCTCTGAGCATGCTCTAGAGTCCGCCGATGTTTTATCGATATTTGCATGGGTTCTTTAATTTGCTTCCAGTGTTAATTGAGTCCTTCAGCTGGTGGTTGAAGTGGTAGGCAATCGTAGAGTTCCGCTTCCAAAGCCGATTTGCAGCTACCGTTGAAATTATATCGTGGGTATCTGTTGCTGTTGTTGCCAGGTGTAAGGAGAATGTGACTCGTAACAAATCGTGGTCCGTATCCACGGGTGTTGACCACTGAGAGTGGCACTCTCGATTTGACCTCCTCCAGCGATAACTGATGGCGATGTGGTCGATATAGGTACATTGCCGTGAAGAGGTTGATGGCTTCCAGGTAAGGCGGTGCCGTTTCTTGTGCGAGAAGTTGGTGCTTTACGAAAAAATCTGTAGTCCGCGCAATCTCGAAGTGGGCGAGCTCCGTTTTCCTTCCGGTTGATTGGGATTTCACGTGAGCCGCCAAAAAGCCTTTCTGTTTCATCCGAGGATCCCGTTTGAACGTTGAATTCTCTGGCGACATCTGTTGGTCGAACACTTTGAAGTAATTGAGAAAGTTCCTTGGTTTCAGGCGCATTGCCATTTGGTCGCTAGGGATGCAAATGGGAGGAACTCATATAATCATCATTTTTGGCCTCAAAAGATCTTCCTTATTTCAGTATCCCGGATTAAATTTCAATGATAAAGTGATCATTTAAAAGTGGATCATTTTCCCGTAAGTACAGTGCGATTACTCCATCATTTACCACCGTCTCGTCGCTCTCACCCGTGACCTTAAACAAGTAAATTCCCTCACTCCAAAACGAGACTGTCTGAATACCGGCCTGTACGTTTTGTAATGCTCTTGTTGTCACGTCTAGTCAAGCCATGTGCTAATGTGCACTCCTGCTGCACAGTCAAAGTTCACTGGGCCTGCCTGAGACTCACGACTGTGAACAAGGTGTGGCTTCTCGCTCGGGTTAGCCGGGTACTCTTGCTGCGGTTGAACCATTTGACCGATCGATCGAGTGATTTTCGGGCTGGTACAGGAGGAGGATAGGTTCCGAATCCGATGCTGTCTAACTGTTGGTAGAGAATCAGTTGTGGAGCGGTGTACCATGTGGGAAAATCCGAGTGGAAAATGTTCAAGCTATGATAAAACTGGGTCAACGCTTGACTCGTCTAAGATACACGCATTATTTTTCGAAGCGGGTTCGGTAAACAGATAATCATAATAAAACTTTAAACTTGTCCTAAGAACGGACAGCAATATCCCCTATTGTAGACCCACGCAAAACTCTTTTTGCTTTTTCCCAACTGATTGTTTTCGCGTCGAACGATCTCGCTAACTGCGTCGAAGATAGCATTCCAAAATAAAGAAAGAACAATGCTTGGCCTGCTTCGATCTCACCCCAATGATGGTGTAGATGGGCCTAACTGAAAGTAATTACACTGTATATCAGCTATCACAGCTAAACCACTGTTCCGCAAGCCGTTTCCTACTTATGAGTAGTGTAATTGTGAAGGATAAAATAAATACAATGTGAGAACGTGACGTAGTGGCTTTACCAATCTTCTACTTATGTCCGTTAAAGATTGATGCCTCGCTAATTATTATTATGTGTTTACCTGTGTCTTCCTTATTCAGTGCGATCGTAATAGTCACTTTCAGTCAACGGTGCTTCAAAATAACGCTAATGCTAAGTTTGCGGCCAAACGCATTTTAAAAAAAGTAAGATTGAATCAGTGGAACATAGACCTCATGAGTGAAAACTGAGGTGGAGCCAAAGTACAGGCTTTTATTCCGCTTTCCTTTCTGGGATGTATTTCGGTAATTATTCTCTGTTGCTAACAGATTTGTGGCATAAATTTTCTGTACATCCGGTTTATACTCCAACTACTTCTCCAGTAGTACCCGTCGAGTAAAATTTCAAAACATCTGTTGAGTTCAGTTGGTCAGAAAATGACCACGGTCAATCGGGCGTCCAGAATGCCCTCGGTTATATGCATTCAAATTTAGGACACACTGCTACGCTTATTAGTGTTTTACGTCTTTGCTGAAAAAAGAAAGAATACCTCATCTCACCTCATTGTTTACAGATTGTTGCTTGAGAGCGTTCATTCAGACAACATACACAGGAAATTACGTAGGAAAAAGGTATGCAAACTTGCTATCCCTTTCTTACCCTTCTGGTTCCCTTGACCAGTAGATCGATTTTCACACCTCCATTTCGAGAACTAGTTCAGCCCTTTCGTCCAGGGCAGTCTTGAGTGCCGGCACGATCTGCAGTTCTTTTGGTTCCACTGGTAGTCTGTTTCATCTGTTAGATACCCTTTTGCTGAAGTCATACTAGGAGATCAATCTTTGACGGGTCTTGACTAGCTTATTGTTATGATCAATCATTCGGGTATCTAGGGCGTCCTGAAACAGGGTTTACTGGCTAAGACCATAGAGACCTTTCGTTAATCGGAAGGTTTCTGTCATATCTCCTTGGAACTTTCTCTTGCCTGTAGATTTGAGTTAAAGCTCATGAAGCCTTTGCCTATATGTAGTGTTTACCTTGCTGCTCCTCAAATATTTTCTTTATCAGCCGTTGAACTCACCCCAGACAGGTGTTATCCTTTTTAAGGAAGGGTGACCAGGCCTGAACACAATACTGTAAGTGGGGGTTAGTGATAGATTTGTAAAGAGGCGTGAATACCTCTCGCTCATGTCATGACAATGCTGAATATTGTCTGAAAAGCCCCCGTCCCCGCCGTCCTTGACTTTTTGTGCCCCTGTGACACATCGATCCGACTAATGAACCAATTTTTTTCTTTGATTTAATTATTTAAAACCTAAATTATGATTCTAGCGGCACGTCACTAATTGAAGAATTTCGCTACGTATTCGTCATCTGTGCCCTGTGAATAGGACTCAGTTAGGGATTCCGTTTGTATGCATAATGTTTGCTTTTGAATGAGTTCCGTCAACCTTTGTCACAAATGCATTAGTGTCTTCGCTGATATCCTGTACACTGAATGATATTCAACTAGCGTGTCTGTTTACTTCAAAGGTATTTTGTTTTCCGAAAGGTAGTTGCCATTAAACGATGGGGATTGTGAGTTGTGTTATTCGAGGATTTTTTGTCTCCTGATGAACCCATCCAAACAACGACGTCCGTTAATGAAAGTGATTTGAGTCACCGCCATCTATCATGAGACGTTTTGAAAAGTCACTGTTCAACCGTGAATATGTGCTACACTTATCAACTTTTGGACTCATCCAGTCCAAATGCCCATGTTTCTCAAAGCGTAGCAATTTCATTCGTTCTTGAAATGCGCAACCTTTTCAGGATTGGTGTGCAGTCGACCGAATTATATACTTCCTGACCGGTGTTTAGCCTCTAATGAACTGTTTTCTATTCTAATTAATAGGCGGCTAGCTGTTCTGAATGTTTTATTCCCAATTTGCTTTGCTGAGCAGCAAATTTATGCATTATCTTCATATACTCATATACGTGACATATGCAAATATCGATCAGCGGTCGAATCACTGAATCTATGAAGTCACGTTCAACAACGTTGGTTTTCCCGCATACACAAAATTTGAATTACTCCTCTCTAATCATAACTATCCAATGTCATTGCTTCACTGAAACTCTTCTAAAATAAGACGGAGTAGAAATGCTGTATGATAAAGGAGGGACAGATTAGAAGATGTTGTGTTGAAGTATCCTCTGCTCCAACTTTCCTTGACTCGCACTACAGCCAAAGAACAGAAAAACTCTAGAACATCGAGCAATCGCGACTGAACCGAAACATCCCAGAAATACCTATTCCTTCTGTCGTCTCCATTCTCATTTTTCCCTCTACTTATGAGTAGTGCAAACCTATGGTATGTTTTATTCAGTTTACTTTGAATACCTAGTGTTTCAGTAATGTGAGAGTTTACGATTACAGCGAGGTGTTCAGTTTGGATTTACATACCTAATTAGATGGAAATTCTTCCAGTTGCAGTAAATGTTCCTACTTGTGAGATATCACATTCGTTGAGTTTCGGTGATGACCAAAATTTTTTTTTGAAAATTTATTTGATCATTACGCATTCATATGTTTCTCTTATTGTGGTTTATCATTTACGTCATTTGNATTTGGTTTATAATAATCAAACTATGAGTTATTTGGTTTTTCTAATGATTCGCCTGCTTGAAAGCTTGTATGAGTTCTATGGTTTCTATTGTATTTTTATTCTGAATTTTAACCCACACAAAATCGTATTTGGTTTCCTCTTCTGTTTCCTAGACCGAATTTCACACCTACTCGGGTCATTCAAGTCACGTGACCAATGTGGCTTTTCTGTTCGATGGCTCTCGCCTCATGTCCGCAGGCGGAAAAGATACGGCTGTGTTGCAATGGGAAGTATGCACCTAAGACAAGTCTGTTCGATGGTTCAATGTATCCTTGCAATCTGATCCGCTAAAGTGCAATATTGCGCTCTTTCTGTTCCTCTCTTACTCACCTTCATATGTGTGTGCGTGCGACTCTTTTGCTTGGGACCTCCCCTTACCGGGCTACAGTTACCTGTTCATGTCCGTTTTCGTGCTTTACTCTCAGATCCTGTCACATGATTGCATACACCTGTATCCGTTGGTGATATGCCAGTTGTCTGGTTTCTTCCAAATTGTTGGTCAGTATTTTGGAGCTGAGTCCTCCAAATCTGCCTTTGGTAGCGCCTACCCTGTCCACCTTTGTCTGCCAACCAAAGACTTCGCGGAAATTCCCTAGACTCCATCCGTAACACATTCCTTTTTCTCGAACCAACATATGGGGAGACTCAAAGCCGTCCGGTACTCACACACACACAGATTCACAACAACTGCACACTTGAGTCAGTTCAAATTTGGATTCTTCTTCGTTTTGAATTTCGACCTATTTCGTTATTAGCTTACTATACCAGGACTCAGCTCCATCGCATTCACCCCTCCACTTTCCTTGCCTTTATTTGTTTATTTGCACCGCATTGTGTTAGCAATCCTTGTGTTTGTTTTTCTTTGCCAATCAATGCACCTTCGCAGTTTCCTCATTCTTTCGAGAAATTATCGTGTAGGGTTGTCCTTATTCCTCGACAATGGGTTAACTAACTAACACTCGCAAGTTTGCTTTCGTTTTGTTTGCATACAGCTAGACAGACAGGCAGACAGATATACAATCCGTTACTATGCCTCACTTCCATCCTTTTCTTCTTGAGATCTATTTGGATTTATCGTTGGCAGATAGATGGTCCCACAACCTATCCCCAAACATTAAACGGGCTTCTGCTTCTGTCAGTATTCCACCCCCTATTACTTGCATATAGGTGGGTGTGTTCTCACATCGAAGTTCTTGTATTTATGATAACGCGCTTATTCCCGTGTGTAATACACACGTACTGCTTTCCTTTATGCGATACTGTGCGCACGACGAATTGTTTGCATGTTTATTATCGGTATTCATGCAATATCATGCAGTCGCACTGCAGAATCGCATTCGTGCTTTTCTAAATGTCTTCAGTTCTCGACTTTCGAGAACTGCATGCAAATTGTATGGTAGTTCAATTGAGCATTTTTTTTTGCTGACTGGAAACATTCTCACTCTGAGCTTCACTCTTTCACGTTTCGCTTACCATGGTCGAAGTATGCCAGAGCCAGACAGAAAGGGGAGTTCAAGTGACCACTTTACCCAGAAGGACGACCGTTGCGATCAGGTCCGTCGGTCATGATTTTCGTGTCTTGTCGGCAGATCACTTTCACCACTCTTAGCTTCAAACCAATCTCGCTACATTAAATGCTAAAGAATCGCGTCCTGTTTATTCTAACCTGTGAAGCTGGAGTGTTTGCGATAGGGCACAACCGTTACTACCAAACACCACCGACGTTGATCGCCCAGTAGTCCGATCGCACGCATTAGATTCCACTCGGGCAGTGGTGTTTGAATACATCCGATTGTCCGTGAAGGGCCGAGTATATGCTGCCACAGTTCGGCCAGCTCTGCTTTGCGGTGCAGAGATTTGGTCATTACGGGAACAGGATAAAAATCGACTGTCAGTGTTCAAACATCGCTGTCTACGTAGCATTGCACGAGTCTGGTGGGGAAACCGGACGAACAATGCTGAGGTTAGGCGTAGAGTTTTCGGTAGTCGCGGTCGTCCACTGGAACAGGTAGTCGACCTCCATAGATTACGCTGGTTGGGACATGTGCTACGCATGTCACCAGATAGGTTGTCACGGCGAGCGATGCTTGGCGAGGCAGGTAGCGGTTGGAAAAAAATGAAGGGCGGTTAAGCTAAGACCTGGCATGAGGGTATGAAAACCCTGACCAGGAGACTGGCTGACATAGGTCTCGTTAGGCTCCCTGGATGGGGACCCAGAGATCATGGTCATCGATGGCTAGAGACACTGAGCGATGTGGCTGGGTGTCGCAAACAGTGGCGCTCATGCATCTACTCATTATTCTTGTAACTTCAGTCTATGAAAATGTGCTTCCTTTCGCCTAAATCTACTCTCAACATTCGTATCATCATTGTGCTATTTTATCCAAATGGGCAACCAAAACCGGCGCACGAAAGTGCCTGGGTAATCGTTGTAAGAACTGAACGGATAGTTGAGTTCATCTTCCTCAGAACTGCAGCAGCGCACACTAGTATCAACCCATTGGTGGAACATTATTTCAAGGATATCAAAATGCACAGATATGCTATTAGTCTTACTGTCAACAAATTCCTGTGGTTCATATCGGTCATTTGTAAATTCAATTTACAGGTACTAGCTATTGAGTTGGGTTTTCAACGATTTTGGTTGGTGATCCTTTGCTGCCAATTTCCATCAGTCACGGAACCACTCATTTTAGTTTACGGACGATCAATGGGAAGCGAGCAGTCAGTAAGCACAGCAACATTAATTGGATTGTATGCTTAGAATGAATGATCTTCGTAAAGGAATGCTGCAGAAGTATGTAAATCTATTTCGATCACTTTACTTTCATAATTCGGGTAACATAAAGGTCTACAATGGTCTAAGTAAATCGTTCCAAACGAGGAGCGATGTACGTCAAGAGTGCCCCATTCCGCCTTTCCTATTCAACTTTGTCGCAAATGAAATACTGGAGAACGCATTTGGTCTCCAAAATGTTGGTATTGAATGGGCAGCTGGAAAAAAACTGTGCGACTTAGAGTACGCTGACGATATCGATTGTCTGTTCGAATGTGTGGAGGATGCGCAAAACGCTCTTGACAGAGTTTCAAGTTCTGTAACTCCATTTGAGATGCACTTTACACCTTCGAAGTGATGTTACAAGACGGGCTGTCGTTTGTCTCGATTAGATGCTTGTTGGTCAAGAATTAGTTATAGTGGGTTATCTCTCCTACTTAGATATTTGCGTGATGAAAGACGGTAGCGTAGTCAAGGAATTCAAACCGCCCGCATTTCCCAGACTAGTGCAGCTTATGAGGAACCGAAACACCTTTGGTGCCAACCTGATGTTTCGTTGAAACTGTAAGGTCGCGTATAGTGTGCGGTCAGTTCTGCCTTACCGTTGCGAGACCCTAGGTTTGCGCGTAGAATATATGCACCGTCTAGAAGTTGTTGACTGCCGATGATTACTTAGTTTAGTGCTGGTTGGCTGGAGCAGGCGTGTAAGGATCTTTGAAGTAAATCGTCGTGTATTTAGTAATGATTCAGTCGAAAATTCGTTATTACGTAGAATTCCGATCTGTGGGCTTCGCTGGCTAGGACACTTATTGCGTATGCTTAGCTGCCATCTACCGCACCCCTCCTTTTTCACAGTTGCGGCTCCAGGTTGGAGATGGCCGAAACGAGGCATGGAGCATTAGGTAGAGTAGGCGTCTCTCGTCCTCCAGTTTGGGGGGGGGGGGTTGGTTGGAGACACTGAAGTATATGGCAGCTAACCATGTCAGAATGCTTGAAAAGGAGTGTATGCACAGTCAGGTTGTGCACTCTGTGTTTCGCATTCTTTGCCTCCCTCCAATTAGGCCCAAACCCTATCCATATTGTGCTTTCTGTACTTTTTGAGCTTGGCAGCGATCGACGAAGTTCACTTTGCTGAACGTTGATAATGAATGATCTTCCGTTACATATGATATGCATTTGATTTCTCGTAAAGCGGCACTTGTGGCTTTTTTTTGTTGTCTCGGTGTTACGAACTCCGGTGCCCGATTACGAGTACCATTCTGATTCTGGAAGGGCGAGTTGTAAAGTGTCACTCCGTGGAAGATAATTCCTCTTCGCAATTTAATTGCATTCAAGAGTAGATAACCTACCAGCCTGAGTGAGGTATGGTTGCCTGGTGGTCATTTGGGTAGTGTGTTTGTGTTCTACCTATGAGGTCCCGGATTCGATCCTCAGCTAGGTCGTAGGCTCAAACACTGCTGATGCAACCAAACCAAGCCGAAGCAGCCGCCCAGTGCTCCCCAGCTTTTCAGTTGCTTTGTGAACGACTAAATCCGCTGTATACTCGAACCGATTCCTTTACTATTGAAGGAATTTATTATAAATAATTAATACTTTTTTAACCTCCTGTGTTTGCCAATCCTGCCTTACGCGATGGCAGAAATTACAACTAAGACCAAATACAAACCCGCTGAGCTTTTAACTGCTGAAGAGTTAATTATTCACCCCTCCTGTCTGGTGACATGCACATGCTATTGACGCTTTGCATTACAGTCATCAGAATAAATCTTCTTAATTTTTCAGTTCTCGGTATATTTTTACTTACATCTGTATCCGTGACAGGCCAGTTTTCTCACGTTTCATCCTCCACATCTAAATATTGTTCATAACGTTATTTCGTTGTGGAAAATTAATTATCTACTACAGAACCGTCAAACATGCTTTATTTTCAGGTGTACGGCGGATTTTGGAGACTTTCACTCCAAAAAGTAAAACATTTTTGGAGAAGAAATCGTCGCGTCTTGATACCCAGAAACAACCGAGTGTTAACACTGATCATGTAGACATCATCTTCATAAAAGAACCTAGTTTATCACCATTTCGTTACCCGCATTTGGATGATATTTTCAACTGAACCGCGATGCAGTCCATTGACAACCACACTTTTATAATTCGAGTCATACATATAAGAACGAAGCACTTATTCTCAGTGTCCGGCATCCTTACCACACAATGGAACGACGTTTGACGGCAGTTGGAAAATAGTGTCTTTGTAGTGTTAAAATGCTGTGATATTATATAAGTTTCTCTTCCTAGAGCATATTTCGACTCCGTGGATCACATTTATCCGTGATGATTCTCGGGAATAGAATTACAAACGGTGTCCCAGCCTCGTTCAACTTTGTCATTCGAGATGGCGGTGGATTCGCCTTAGCTGGAAACCCTTGTCGAGTATATGGAACGGGACAATGGCATTGGCTGCGTTGG